TTAATGGTTTGATACTTGTTGATTGGACTCGAATTGCCCCCAACTTTGATATCATCAGGTTCGTTTTGTCGAAATGGTCAGTTTGATTATAAACTTCTTGAAATTGGGGACCTGGATTGCCTTGGATTGAATATGGAACATTTCTAAAAATGCCTTGATATATGATAAAAATTTATTGGTGATGCATCATAGGTAAGGAAATGTATGGAGAAGTTTTCTAAGGAATGTTGAAAATTTTCTTCCATGACGTTTAGGTCCAAATGAAAATCTTGTAAATGTTGAGTTTGCACGTAACATCAAAGATGAAATTGCCTGTATGCCAGTAGGGTTATAAATGAACCAATGCATTTGTTTAGGTCCAACTGAAAATCTTGTAAATGTTGAGTTTGCATGTAACATCAAAGATGAAATTGCGTGTATGCCAGTAGGGTTATAAATGAACCAATGCATTTGATGAATAATGTAAATTTGGCTTGATTAATTTTCAATCATATTCATTCAAATTAATAAATAAAAAGCCTGAACATTCCTTTAAAACTCAAGATTAAATAAACCAATTTGAACATAGTCCACTTCGATTATTATTATTCACGAACAAACTCTTTTGTTGTTCGAAAAATAACTTTGATAGATGTTTTATACTTATATGTTATATTATTTAAATAATTTTTTTTAAGTGGAAATTATTTAATCATATATATTTAATAATAATACATTATAATTTAATATAAATATGCATATAAGCTTAATATTTTTTTTTATTTTAATGAGCTAATTTGTTAGTACTAATTTATATTATTTATTTTACTTGGTTTAAATTAATTAGATACAAATTTGAAAATTTTCAATTGTTGACTTACTTATATCTACCAAATTAATTGTTAATAACTTTATATAACAATCAAGATGTCATTTGAATTTTTAGTTTATTATTAGCTTTATATAAAAATTTTAAGTTCAAATCAAAATTTTAATTTTATGTAAAATCTCATGTCCCCATTTGAATTTTTATCTTATTACATGTGAAATACAAATCAAGCGTGAACATTAAAAATATTAAGCAAGACAAGCATGGACACATATGTGAAAGCTCGGCTCAAGTTAAAACTGAACATAAACAACTTATGATTTGATCAAGTCTAGTTCATTCCATGTCAAACTCAATTCAACTTGGCTTGATTATACGGTGTAACTAAGCCAAGCCGACTCTTGAGCTGGCTCGGTCTCAACTCAAAAAATCTCTCGTGAACTAGACTCAATGAGCTAACAAACCAAGCTCAAGTCAGCCCGACTCAACTCATCTAAAAAAATCAATAAAAAATATACATAAAATATAATAAGATTCAACAATTGTACCTTAAATCATTAACAATATATAAAAAAAAACATTTATCATATTTTATATGAATTGATTTCTTATTAATTAAGCCTTAAGTACTCATTCTATCTACTATTTCACTATGTCACTATTTTAAATTATTTTATTTTCCTCTTCCATACTAAACTACCTAGCTCATAAGCATACTCGAACTCATAGAATTAAGCTCGAACATGAAACTCAAGCTGAGGATGATTTGAGCTGGACCTGGTGTATGTACACTTAAAATTATAGCCCTATCTGCCAGCTTGGTACATAGTCCACATCATTTGCATTCAAATAAGGAGCCTGAAAATATCTCATTTGATGTGTTTTTAAGGCTACTACTCATGTGGCTGGACATGTTTGCTTGTTGGAAGGGTGGTATTGACAGTCACGATCAAGCAGATGGATGTAAATTCTGTCTTATTTTTGCCTCGGTGGGGTTCGGTCGAGTTGTGTTGTCCAAATTTGTATGAACGGTGAAAAGCTTAAGTCTTGTTTTAATGTATGAAACGAGCAATTTGCTGAAAAGCTTCTCTTTTTTTAATGTATGAAATGAGTATGAGTTCCATTGAGTGATCAGTTTTGTGAGAGCAGTCAAGATCTTGGGGGCTACTTGGAACTATAGGTTTTGTTTTTTTCTTTTTTGTTTAATTTAATTTTAATTATAATTTGATTTTAGACAAAATATATTAGTAGGACTGTCAAAAAAGCTCGTTGTTCGCGAACAGTTCATGTTCGGTTCATTAATGAGTTCATGTTCCATTCGTTCGATAAGTAAACTAGACGAACGTGAACAAATTTTTTTTTCTCGTTTCGTTAGTTAAACGAACCAAACATGAATAGTAATGTGTTTGTTCGTGTTCGAATCGTTATTGTTTGAAAGTATTATGGATGTCAAGCTGGCTGGCGTTCGGCTCCTTCGTTAACAAACAAACATGAACGGTGACTTCACGAACAATTTCAAACACAAAGTTACTTCAAACAAACTAAATTTCAAACGAACCGAACACGAAGACAAACTCTATTCATTCGTGTTTGGTTCATTTACACCACTATATATTAGGGGAGTTAAAAATTATTATTTTTTGGATATTCAAAATATCTGAAAAGTATTTTGAGGGTTTTTTAAATATATATATATATATATATGAAAAAAAAATAAAAGATATGGAAAAAATATAGTAAATAAGCATATATTTAAAAATTAAAAAAATACAAAATTAGATTAAATTAAAAATAATCTCAAATAAAAAAATTGGCCTTTTTTATGTGAAATATATATGGATTGTGAGACCAAATTGCTAAAAATTTCTATAAGTGATTGCACTTATTTTGTCTAATTTGGGCCATGTTGAGGCCTTTAAGGACCACATTATTATTATTATTATTATTATTTTTTTTTTGAAAAAAAGGACGGATTAAAATATTTTCTTGAAATATTTGTTGGATTCTTTTGGACAACAGCTATGCTTTTATTTATGCGAAACAAAATATTTTTTGGGGCATTTACAAACATATCCAACAATTCTTATGTATTTACATATTTAAGACCTGAACTTTTTAATGCTCAAATCATAATTCATATTTTTTTATGCAAAGGTGTATGGTATCATGATTTAATAAATGTAAATATCAAACTTTAGGTGCCATATGTGTAAATCTGTAAGAATTATGTGGAATGTATGCAAATTTTTGTATTTTTTAAAATGGTCCACATTAGATACAAAATTGCTTGTGAAAATATAATAGAAGTATATAAATGATTCCAAATTAAAAAATAATAAAAGGGACAAAGACAAAGTCTCAATGAAACATCACAAATTGAGAACTTATTCAAGCATTTTAAACAACCATACCTTAGAAACAATTCAAACTTCAATTAAAAGCCATCTAAAGCTCTGATTTCATCAAACTTATAACCAAATTGACTGACTCGATAAGACAAATCCAACTATACTAAAATCTGTTTAATTTGGGTATTATGGATGTCAAGCTGGCTGGCATTCGGCTCCTTCGTTAACAAACAAACATGAACAGTGACTTCACGAATAATTTCAAACACAAAGTTACTTCAAACAAACTAAATTTCAAACGAACCGAACACGAAGACAAACTCTATTCATTCGTGTTTGGTTCATTTACACCACTATATATTAGGGGAGTTAAAAATTATTATTTTTTGGATATTCAAAATATCTGAAAAGTATTTTGAGGGTTTTTTAAATATATATATATATATATATGAAAAAAAAATAAAAGATATGGAAAAAATATAGTAAATAAGCATATATTTAAAAATTAAAAAAATACAAAATTAGATTAAATTAAAAATAATCTCAAATAAAAAATTGGCCTTTTTTATGTGAAATATATATGGATTGTGAGACCAAATTGCTAAAAATTTCTATAAGTGATTGCACTTATTTTGTCTAATTTGGGCCATGTTGAGGCCTTTAAGGACCACATTATTATTATTATTATTATTATTTTTTTTTTGAAAAAAAGGACGGATTAAAATATTTTCTTGAAATATTTGTTGGATTCTTTTGGACAACAGCTATGCTTTTATTTATGCGAAACAAAATATTTTTTGGGGCATTTACAAACATATCCAACAATTCTTATGTATTTACATATTTAAGACCTGAACTTTTTAATGCTCAAATCATAATTCATATTTTTTTATGCAAAGGTGTATGGTATCATGATTTAATAAATGTAAATATCAAACTTTAGGTGCCATATGTGTAAATCTGTAAGAATTATGTGGAATGTATGCAAATTTTTGTATTTTTTAAAATGGTCCACATTAGATACAAAATTGCTTGTGAAAATATAATAGAAGTATATAAATGATTCCAAATTAAAAAATAATAAAAGGGACAAAGACAAAGTCTCAATGAAACATCACAAATTGAGAACTTATTCAAGCATTTTAAACAACCATACCTTAGAAACATAATTCTTATATTTTGATTGACTTCCTTATAAAAAACTGCAAATTTTTTTTAGTCATCCGATTTGTTGGCATCACTTTTGAATTTTATTTATTTCTTTATTTATATTTTAATTTATTTATATTTTTACTTTAAAAAAACATATATTTGATGTATTATAACATGCTTAGCTATTTTTAACAATAATAAAATAACTTTCACATTTTTAAAAATATTTTTAAAAAATAAGTAAATTTATCTTTGAAAAAAAATCATACAAAAATGAACTAAACAAACATATTTTAATTTTTTTTTTAAATGACCACAATTAACCGCTACCTTTTGTGTTTCAAATTCACATCAAATTTGTTAGACATGATCCAATTTTTACTCGAGAGGAATTTTTTTATTTTCTAAGGACTCATTTAGGATCATTTTTATTTTTCATTTTTGCTTTTATTTTTATTTTTTAAAATATAATTTTTAATTTATTTTTTATATTTTTATATTTTTTATTTCTAAAAATAAATTAACATATTTTTTAAAACACTTAAAACTATTTAAACATTTTCAGTATTTTACAAAACAATCATATCTCAATCAAATATACAAACATGTTTTATTTTAAATAAAAAAATAAACAATATAAAATAAAAAAAATAATAAAAAACAAAAAAATAAAAGTAATTTCAAAAGTCCCTTAAGAAAATGAACACAATTTGATATTTATTTTCCGAGAATAAATCTCAAACCAATTTCCCGATTTGTCTCAATTTTGCAGGTTGGAAAGTTCATCAATCTAATATCAACATTCATTATTTCCTTCGCCATCTCATTTGCCAGAGGTTGGCTACTCACATTGATCATGCTGTCTACAATTCCTCCTATGGCTGTTTGTGGCGCCGTATTGTCAATTGTTCTATCCAAAATGTCCTCGAATGAACAAAAATCATATGCCAAAGCTTCAGAAATTGTGGAACAAACCATAGGCTCAATTAGAACAGTAAGCGGCAGCACAAAATGAAGTCAGAATTCTGCAGAAGAAAAAAAAAAACTCATTAATTAGAACTAAATTGTAATGTTCAAGGTAAAAACTAAATATGATGTTAATGTTGCTAGGTGGCAGCTTATACAGGGGAGAATATTGCAGTGCAGAAGTATAAGAAGGCATTAAATGGTGCCTATATTTCTTGTATTTATGAGGGGTTGGCTTCTGGTTTTGGTGCCGGGCTTGTATTTTTCCTTAACTACAGCAGCTATGCTTTTGGAATGTGGAACAGCTCAAATCTGATATTAAATAGAGGATACACAGGTGGAGTTATCCTTTCTGTTATCTTCACAGTTCTGATTGGTGCTTTGTAAGTTACTCATTTCCTGTTTTTTTTTTCTTTTTGAGAGAGAGATTTACATAAATATCACACAAATCTTATGTATTTACATATCTAAAAGATATACTTCAATTTTTACAAGAATGGCACCTTACTTTTGCACGAGGTGTATTTCACTTTTAAAAAAGTTAAAATAGTGGTATTTTTTATGTGATATGAAAGATTCTGCAGCTACTTCAGGTCATTCAGATAAATAATTTTTTTCGATAATCTATCTATAAGCATTTTATTCTGATAAATTGGCTAGCTGTTTGATTTATAAGTTTCGAAAACAACTGATAGATAAAAAAATATTGTACCTATGTTCTAGATAAGCTGTTAGATGTTTGATTTGTGCATTTGGAAAAGAACTTATTTATATGCTTTTTGTAGATAAAAGATTGTTTACACGTTATAAAATTTAATTGGTAGATGTGGAGAAGACTCTTGGTCCCCTCGCCTGAAGATGGATCCATACCGGTCCAAGTCAGAAGTGGCGAATGAGAACATTTCTCCTCTGATCTCTCTCCCCATTGGTGGATGTGGAGAGGCGGCTTGAGAAGCACTAGTCACCGAAGGGCCGAAAGCAACTCCCCGCTCATTTGCCACATGGAAGAAAGAGGTCAAGGATGGTTTCTTGAATCAATCCCTCTCTCAACTATGGAAAGGTCGGAGGAAGAGCTATTTGGCCACACAATGTTTCTTTACTAAGAAGTCGTACGGTTCCTATCCGCCACACAAGTGTTTCTTCACTAGGAAGCCGCTCTCCGCTATCAATTTGATGCGACGTTGGTCATTGGAAGCGAATGGTGTTTAGCCATTGTGCAGATATTATGGAGATCATTTGGTGAAACTATAAGCCAGAAAATACATTTTGGATACATACAAACAATTAACAATTATAAATCTCATCAATACAAAATTTATATTGCAGGTTTTGCAATATGAATTTATAAATCTAATCAATACAAATAATTAGCAATTATAAATCTGACCAATGTCAAGCAAATATAAAAATAGCCCTGTTCTAGGACAAGGAAAAAATGATTAATAGAGAATTAAATGGAAAATAAATCAGCAGGATATAAAAATAGCCAATGCATCAGCAATAGCCAACATTGGTTCCCAATTGCCATACGAACTGCTCGTTAACAGGATATAAAAGAAAGCATTACAATCCTAGCATTAATGAGTATTGCAGGTCTTGCCAACAACTTCTACTCGACAAATCTTGGTTGAGTACAAATAAATACATGTAAAAGCAGCAAGGAACAACAGTAAAAAAAATACATTAGACTAATAAATCTTATGATTTTTTAATAAACAATGCGTATAAATTAGAATATGAATATCACAACAACATAATAGTTCTAAAACTCTCGTAATTTTAACAGAGCTACTGAACCAAAATAATACGAAAATAAATCCAAAAAAAAAAGATAAACAAAACTTCCCTTCTCCAGAGTGAAAGGATCATCTTACCCTCAACAAGGCAAAAAAAAAAAAAAAAAAACAAAGTATATAAAATGAACAGAGCAACCCTCACTCATACTCCACTGCTACCTCCATTCTCAGTTGATGGAACGACGAAGTTTCCTGAGAAATAAGCATCACAAAAACTCAGCACCTCCTCCCCAAGCAAGCTTCTAAACACTCTCAAGCGACGCTAGGACGAGACATGCTCGGCGGAAGAAGAAGGCGAGACTCCCGTGAAAGCTAGGGCACGGCTAATCGTATTCGGCATTGCGAGCAAGACGAGAGTAGAGCTGCCAACATGAGCGTAGTGAAATGAGTGCAGGTTTTGGCAAGGGAGGGAGGAGACGGAGAGAAGGGCATAGGAGTAAAATTTCGTTAGAACGCCCATTCAAGAAGCGAGACGCTGGGTCGATCCCGCGTCCCCGTCTATTAAGTATCCGAGAATGGGGTTTCGGGATAAGCTATCGAAACGCAAAAAACAAACAGGGCGACAGCGTTTTCAAAACGCCATCGCAACAAAGAAACTGTCTTAAACGCACCCTAAATGAGAAAGCAAGCCCAACGATGCTTTCTTGAAATTTACACATTTTCATTATAAAATGTGTGTGGGCGTGTCATTCCTGCAAAATATATCAACCGCAAGCTTTAAAAATTTGAATGAAAAATTTGTTCGACATGCCTTTCATGATATAAATTTTATTAAATGTATTTGGCAAATATACGGATACATGTGTTTCAATATAAGAAGTGGAAGAGAGAATAATCGTGAGATGATCTCCTTGTTTATATGAAAGTGGGTATAACATCTGATATTACATTTTTATCTCTGTTTAATCGGAGGTTATACATGATATTCTATATATTTTATAAGTATGAACTTATTGTTTGTCTGCATAAAATGAGAAGCAAGCCCATCATGTCTTCTTGAAATTTGCACATTTTCAATATAAAATGTGTGTGTGCATGCCTTTCCTGCAAAACATATCAACCATAAGGTTTAAAAATCTAGATTGAAAAAAGGTTCAATATCACATTTCATGATATAAATTTTATTAGATGTATTTGGCAAATTATACAGATACATATGTGTTTGAGCATAAGAAGTGGAAGAGACAAAGGTCGAGAGAGAGAGATGAACATTAATAAATAGTAAATATTTTTTCTTTCAATTATTTATTATAAAATGATCTCTTTATTTTATATGGGAGAGGGTATAACATTTGAAATTACATTTCTATTACTATTTTAATGAGGGTTATACATGATTTTCTAGATATTTTTTATGTATGAGCTTATTGCTTGACCGCACAAAATGAGAAAGCAAGCCCATCAGTGCCTTCTCGAAATTTGCACGTTTTCAAAATAAAATGTGCGTGTATGTATCATTCCTGTAAAGCATATCAACCACATGGTTAATAAACAAAACTTGATGGAACGACGAAGTTTTCTGAGAAATAAACATCAAAAAAACTGGGCACCTCCTCCCCAAGCAAGCTTCTAAAGACTCTCAAGCGACGCTAGGGCGAGACGTTCTCGGCAGAAGAAGAAGGCGAGACTCCCGTGAAAGCTAGGGCACGGCGAATCGTGTTCGGCATTGCGAGCGAGACGAGGGTAGAGCTGCCAACATGAGCGTAGCGAAATGAGTGCAGGTTTTGGCAAGGGAGGGAGGAGACGGAGAGAAGGGCACAGGAGTAACTGAACGCCCATTCAAGAAGCGGGACGCGGGGTTGATCCCGCGTCCCCGTCTATTAAGGATCCGAGAACGGAGTTTCGGGATAAGCTATCAGAACGCAAAAAACAAACAGGGCGACAACGTTATCAAAACACCACCACAACAAAGAAGCTGTCCCAAATGCACCCTAAATGAGAAAGCAAGCCCAACGATGCTTTCTTGAAATTTACACATTTTCATTATAAATTGTGTGTGGGTGTGCCATTCCTTCAAAATATATCAACCACAAGCTTTAAAATTTTGAATGAAAAATTTGTTCGACATGCCTTTTGTGATATAAATTTTATTAAATGTATTTGGCAAATATACAAATACATGTGTTTCAATATAAGAAGTGGAAGAGAGAATAATCGTGAGATGATCTTCTTATTTATGTGAAAGTGGGTATAACATCTGATATTACATTTTTATCTCTGTTTAATCGGAGGTTATACATGATATTCTATATATTTTATAAGTATGAACTTATTGTTTGTCTGCATAAAATGAGAAGCAAGCCCATCATGTCTTCTTGAAATTTGCACATTTTCAATATAAAATGTGTGTGTGCATGCCTTTCCTGCAAAACATATCAACCATAAGGTTTAAAAATCTAGATTGAAAAAAGGTTCAATATCACATTTCATGATATAAATTTTATTAGATGTATTTGGCAAATTATATAGATACATATGTGTTTGAGCATAAGAAGTGGAAGACACAAAGGTCGAGAGAGAGAGATGAACATTAATGAATAGTAAATATTTTTTCTTTCAATTATTTATTATAAAATGATCTCTTTATTTTATATGGGAGAGGGTATAACATTTGAAATTACATTTCTATTACTATTTTAATGAGGGTTATACATGATTTTCTAGATATTTTTTATGTATGAGCTTATTTCTTTACTGCCCACCACAAAATGAGAAAGCAAGCCCATCAGTGCCTTCTCGAAATTTGCACGTTTTCAAAATAAAACGTGTATGTATCATTCCTGTAAAGCATATCAACCACATGGTTTAAAAATCTAATTAAAATACTAAATGAAAAAAATGAGTTCAACGTGCCTTTCATGATGTGAATTTTATTAAATGTAGTTGACAAATTATACAGATACATATGTGTTAGAACATGAGAAGGGGAAAAACTATCAAATATTTCTTATGATATGATCTCATTATTTATATGGAAGATGGTATGACATGTGAAATTACACTTGTGTCCCTGCTTTAATGGGAGTTATGCATGTTATTCTAGATATTTTACATATATGAGCTTATTATTCGATTGCACTATTATTCAGATGGTTGAACCAGCATGAATTTGGCTTTGTAAGGCCGATTCAATCGTTTGGGCTGAGTCGATGTAGCTGGTTAGTTGGATTTGACTAGATTTTGGTCGGCTGGACTTTATCAATCGATTAATCTAGTTTGACTATCCACTCTTGATTATTATATGATGAGTTGCTTTCGACAGAACAAGACTAGACAATCATGGAGATGGTGAATCTCCTCAATTAGATAGATAACTCATTTCTTGCAACTCGAAGCCCCTGTCTTCATGCCAGAAGATCAGCTGAAGTTGAGCATAACTTCAGCTTTTTACGAATAACACCCTCAGTTGACATATCACAGTCAATGTAGCCTCGTACCACCAAGCATTTTCCTGGGTTACTCTTGTATCTGCTTACAACTTTCACTGCATGAGCAATATCATGCCCCTGCTGAAAACCCTTTTCAACAAGTCCAGTCATGTACCTCTTACTGCCACCAAGCGCAGTCTTCACCCGGTACACCCACTTGCTGTGCAATATCTTCTTTCTTGGTAGAAGTTCTGCCAACTCCCAAGTC